CCAACTCCTGGGCTCAAGCGAGTCTCCTGCCTCAGCCTCCCAAGTAGCTGGGACCACAGGCGCCCGCCACAGCACCGGCCATTTTTTTGGTTGCAGCCATCATTGTTGTTTGGTGGGCCCGGGCTGGGGATTTGAACCCGCCACCTTAGGTGTATGTGGTTGGCGCCCTAGCCGATTAAGCCACAGGCAGAGGTATCCAAGAACAAGCTAAATGTTCTCTAACCATGAGAACCTTTTAAAAACAAAGAATAATTTCTTAACAAACTTCCATCTCAATACAGAATAACAAGTGAAATCTCCCAATTCTTCTATAAAATGATCCCAACTCTTTCTATTTCTTTCCAGAATCCTCCAAATGTCATTTAAGCAACAAAAATAACAAAATCAACCTCCAATATTATCAACTTTCTTACAAAATATCCTTTCTCTTTGAGCGCTTTCAATTTAACCTCTTTCCTAAAAACATTTCTTTTCCTGACACGCTCACTCAACACTTCTTATTCTCCCACATTCAATGTTCTAATGAATTGGAATTCATTTATCTTCATTGCTGCCACCAAATCACTGGTTTTCTACCAATGTGCAAAAAAAATTTCTGCTCTTGGCTCAGCACCCATAGCCCAATGGTTATGGTGCCAGTCACCTATACCAGCCTGGGCCAGCTAAAACAACAATGACAAGTGCAACCAAAAAAAAAAAAAAAAAAAAAAAAGGCTGGGCATTGTGGTGGGCACCTGTAGTCCCAGCTACTTGGGAAGCTGAGGCAAGAGAATCACTCAAGCCCAACAGTTTGAGGTTACTGTGAGCTGTGATGCCACTGCACTCTACCCAGGGTGATAGCTTGAGACTGTCTCAAAAGTAAAAACTAAAAAAAAAATTCTGCTCTTTTGAAACTGATGTTGCATGGCTATATAATTCTTTATTTATTCTCACTGTTGTCACTTACCATCTCTTGCCTGGATCCTCTCCATTATAGAGGAGTTTAACGCTTAGCTACTAGTTTACTGCTCTATTTAATATTATTTTGTCTAGTTATTATAGGTGATGTCAATGACGCATCTGATGACTAATCCTCAAAGTTTGTGTCCCAGTAAGCTCCAACTAGCTTCATTCACACTGCTCTTTAGCAATTTTTTTTTTTTTTTGAGACAGAGCCTCAAGCTGTCCCCTTGGGTAGAGTGCCGTGGCATTACAGCTCACAGCAACCTCCAACTCCTGGGCTCAAGTGAGTCTCCTGCCTCCACCTCCCAAGTAGCTGGGACCACAGGCACCCGCCACAACGCCCAGCTATTTTTTGGTTGCAGCCGTCATTGTTGTTTGGCTGGTCCGGGTTGGGGATTTGAACCCGCCACCTTAGGTGTACGTGGCTGGTGCCTTAGCCGGTTGAGCTATAGGCACCGAGCCGAGGCCCCAGGTTCTTCACACCAGCAGGGACCTTTACCATTCTCTTCAAGTTCTTACCACCAAGAATATCTCAGTATTCAAAGAAAAAACTCCCTGGGTATGATGGCTCATAACTGTAATCCTAGCCTTGGATCCCTTGAGGCCTACAGTTTGAGACCAGCCTGGGTAACACAGCAAAACCCCGTGTCCACCCTCCTCAAAAAATACATATATATTTTTTCAGAATATAAAAGTATGAATTTATTTTATATTAGAGAGAAAAAAATAGTAGGGGGAAGAGATTATAAAGAAAAGAGAAAAAAGTAAAGAGCAGGGAGAGAGGGGAAGATGGGGTAAGGGGGAAAGAAAAGGAACAAGACTGGCATGGCATCCTAAAAAAGAAGAATGCGAAACACACACACAATTTTAAAACTAGCCAGGCATGGTGGCACATGCCTGTAACCCTAGCTACTCAAGAGGATGAGGCAGGCAGATCACCTAAACCCAGAAATTTGAGGCTACTATGAGCTAGTATCATGCTACTACACTCCAGTCTGGTTGCCAGAATGAGACCCTTTCTCAAAAACTAAATAAATAAAACTAAATCTCAAATATTAACTCCTTCTTCCTCAAATTATCTATTTCTGTACATATCTTCACAGCTTCTTTCCTCCATCATGAGGGGAAAATGTTTCTTTCCATTTTGACCTTAATTATTTTACCTGTTCTTTTGATTCCATCCCTGTCAGTAGTCTCCAGAAATTTTCTCCATTAGTTATTCTCTGCCCTTTTCATGCTTGCCTCTTGTAAATACAAACTACCTCGTGAAACTACATAACATCTCTAATTTCCTTCTTTCATAGGCAAGCTCCTCATAACAGTAACTGCTGTTATTATAAGTCAACACATACTGCTCCTTTCTTACTTTCCACTTTACTCTTCTTTTTGTTTGTTTTGGTTTTTTTTCTTCTTTTTTTTTTTAGACAGTCTCATTCTGTTGCCCTCAGTAGAGTGCTGTAGTGTCACAGCTCACGGAAACCTCCAACTCCTGGGCTTAAGCGATTCTCTTGCCTCAGCCTCCCAAGTAGCTGGGACTATAGGTGCCCGCCACACCACCAGGCTATTTTTTGTTGCAGTATGGCTGGGGTGGGGTTTGAACCCGCCACCCTTGGTATATAGGACTGGCGCCCTACCCACTGAGCCACAGGTGCCTCCCTGTTTTGTTTTTTTGAGGCAGAGTCTTACTATGTGGCCCTTAGTAGTGAGCTGTGGTGTCATAGCTCACAGCAATCTCAAACTCTTGGGCTTAAGTGATTCTCTTGCCTCAGCCTCCCAATAGCTGGGACTACAGGTGCCTGCCACACCATAATACCTAGCTATTTTTTGGTTGCAGTTATCATTGTTGTTTAGCAGGCCTGGGCCAGGCTTGAACCCGCCAGCTTCAGTGTATGTGAAGGCTGAGCACCCTACACTGAGCTACATACTCATGTACATTTGGTCTTTACAATTGTTTGACCCTGGGCTTTGATAGCTTTTCGTCCTTTGGCTTCCACAACACTATTTCTTTCCTGGTTTACTCCATGTCTTCTTGTCTTCTTTTGTTGACTACTGTTACTCTGTCCAGTCCTTAAATGTTTTTCCCCAAGATTTTCATCTAGGTCTGCTAACCAAATAAACCATTTACTTTACTGGTTTCAACTAATATCTACAAGCTCATGATACCATGATTTACTGTTTAAACCCAGAATTCTGAGGTCCACATCAGAATAACAAATTTATAATAGACATATTTATTTGGTTGCTTCATAGCCTTTCAAACTCAGGATGGCTCAAATTAATCTCAATTATTTATCTCCCAAGAACTTTCTTCTCCTTTTTGAACCTTCTACCCTTCTGTCATCTTAAATCACTTTCACCTCCAGTGTGTATGCAAAATTTGTAAATTTTATATCCTCTCTTCTCTAATACCACAATATCTCATCAAGTTTCACAAGGACTACTAATTGTTCTCCCTGACTGCAGCCTCTTGAGAATGTAGCCAATAAACTATTGCCAAAGTGATCTTTATAAAACATAAACTTGACCAAGTTTAAAACTTTGCAATCATCCTCCACTGATTAAGGATAAAGTTTGAACATCTTACCATAATCTGACCTTTTCATATCTCTTCTACCTTTTTCTTCTCAAATTCAATGCTCCATCAGTTACAAACTATAGTTTCTTAAATATACTATGCTGCTTCCTGTAGGGACTTTGCCCATGTTGTCCCTTCTGTTGATTCAGCTTTTTTTTTTCTTTTTTTCTGAGATACAGACTCACTCTGTCGCCCAGGTAGAGTGCTGTGGCATCTTCATAATTCACAGCAACCTCAAACTCAAGCAATTCCTCTTGTCTCAGCCCCCCAGAAGCTGAGTTTTTTCTATTTTTAGTAGAAAGGGTCTTGCTCTTGCTTAGGGGGTACTCAAACTCCTTAACTCAAGCAATCCACCTACCTCAGCCTCAGGGTGCTAGGATTACACTGGGGAGCCATCGCACCCAGCCTGGATTCAGCTTTTCTATCAAACCTTTGTGAGATATCACCATTACCACCCAGAATACAGGACCACTCAATTCTGTAAATACGCCATGGTCTCATATCTCTACAATGCACCTATAAAATTTATTATACCTATCTACATACATCTTTCCCTCTTGTAAGAAGTAAGCTCTTGGAGCTGGGCACAATGGCTCATGCCTATAATCCTAGCACTCTGGGAGGCCAAGGAGGGTAGATTGCTTGAGCTCAGGAATTCAAGACCAGCCTGAGAAAGAGCGAGACCCCATTTCTACTTAATAAAATAGAAAAACCAGTTAGGCATTGTGGCTAGATACTATAGTCTCAGCTCCTCAGTGTTGCCAGAATTCAAGAGTTTAAAGTTAATATGAGCTAGGCTGACACCATAGCACTCTACCCAGGGTAACAGAGTGAGACCCTTATCTCAAAATAAATAGTAAGCTCCTGGCCAGGCACAGTAATCCTAGCACTTTAGGAAGCCCATGGTGGGAGGATCACTTGAGGCCAGGAGTTGATGAGCAGGTGCTGAGATCCCATCTCTACAAAAATGAAAAAATTGGCTCGGCGCCTATAGCTCAACCGGCTAAGGCACCAGCCACCTACACCTAAGGTGGCGGGTTCGAATCCGCAGCCCGGACCCGCCAAACAACAATGACGGCTGCAACCAAGAAATAGCCGGGCGTTGTGGCAGGCGCCTGTGGTCCCAGCTACTTGGGAGGCGGAGGCAGGAGACTCACTTGAGCCCAGGAGTT